TATATTCATCTTATATTCATATATATATTCTTTGCAATTTTGAAAACTTTTATGGAACCCTACACCCATACTACTTAAAAATGCTAAGAACTAAGATTTGCATTCAATTCAGTATATCATATGACATAAAAAAATCTTCAGGGGCATAAAAATACACCAGTTATAACAAAGTCTACTGAAACAAGGGAAAAAAAGCTTTAATTTAATTAAATATAAAAAATAAATAAATAGGGGCCAGGGATTTAGCTCTGTGGTTCTGCCAAGTGCAAGGACCCGAGTTCAATCCCCTGTACCAAAAATAAATAAATAAAATTAGAACTCCCTAGGTAATCTAGTATATTACTGTCATGCTTATTATGGTCAGGTAATTGTTACTAACAACACAAAAATGACTATTCAACATGATGTCTTAAAATTCAGTGTTTGAGGGGCTGGGGATTTAGCTCAGTGGTTCCATCTCCTGCCTCACAAGCTCAAGGTCCCAAGTTCGATACCTGGTACCAAGAAAAAAATAAAAAATTTAGTGTTTGAAATAAAACACCAAACTTTCCAAACTAGAATTACCCCTATTTGGATTCAAGATATGTAAATGGTGCTGAAAAGAGACCATTAGCCCAATCTTTCCTAAGGCAGCTAAACCTTCTATTTCCTAATTTCTGATTGTAACTGAGGTAGGTGATATGATTATAAGCTGTCTGAGGATAGGGAACATTACTCTTCAAAAAAAACAGCATAGTAACTGGAAACTAGCAAGAGGAAAATGAATGTTTATTATATAAACTACAATATAAAGAAAAAAAATTGGTAATACCAAGAAGGATTAAAAAGTTGAGCTCTTAAATACACTTATATTTTGGTATATGTGAAGCATTCACAACAAGTATCATAGAAATAGTAAGATAAACTGTTTTTATGTTTTATGCAATTCTTTACCTGATCAATCTAAGGGCCGGGGATTTAGCTCAGTGGTTCTGCTGCTTCGCAAGCACAAGGTCCCGAGTTTGATCCCTGGTAACCCCCCCCCAATCTAGATTACCCATCTTTAGGAACAGTGTTTAAGTTCTGTCCACTGCAAAAGCAAAGAGAATGACCAACACTCTCTATTCTTAAGGCTAACAGCAGTTCTTCTCTTAGCCACAAGGTTCTGAATTAATTTATCTTGAAACTGCTTGTTCTCCAATCATATATTCACAGGCATAAGAGCTACATAATCTATCCCCTGGACAATCTGGGCTCATCTGCTCTAATGTGAAAATCCAACTTTCATCAGTGATTGCTGGTGAACAGATGTGATGTTCTGCTTTTCTCAAAAATGGTAGTACATAACTGCATAAAGATATGACCCTCCACAGCACTCTGAAAAAGGAGATCAAGGAGGATATAGGAAAATGGAAAGACATCCCTTGCTTCTGGGTAGGAAGAACCAATATAGTGAAAATGGCCATACTTCCAAAACTACTATATAGATTTAATGCAATGGCGATTGAAATTTCAACAATATATTTCACAGAACTAGAGAAAACAATCTAAAAATTTATTTGGAACCAGAAGAGACCTAGAATAGCAAAAGCAATTCTAGG